GAAGCTGCGGCTGCGATGGGAGGAGGTCTCGGGCAATTGGGCTACGCTGGGGTGGACTTTTGAAGCTCCAGTGATTACCCTCCAGGTGGGGGGTTGCCAGTGCTGGGTGGAGGATGTGAGCTGGGAGCTGCGCAGATAAAACACCGCAGCGTTAGGGTGCCGAAGCCTGCAGCCCCGCAGCCTAGCAGAGAACGTCTGGTGTTGAGTTAAAGAGTGCTGGTGGATTCTTCTAAAACATTGCTCAAAAAGTATATTTTTCCTTGCTAGAGGAGGGCAGCCCTTCCCCCGTCCTGGCCTTTGCCTCTTCTCCTCGACCCAACCACAGCTACATGTTTAAACGGGAACCTCCCGAGGGATGTGAGAAGGTCCGGGCCTTTGAAGAAGCCTCGTAAGTATGAGGAGCTGGCAGAAGAGCGCTCGCGTGAGGCTGGCCCTGTGGGAGGGTGCCGGCGTGGGGGCGGCTGCGGTTGCCACCCCTCCCCTGTCCTGAAAGGGGAAACTCCCCACCCCACCGTGGTGGGAAGAGCTGGAAGCGGGACCGCCAGCCCTCAGACACGCGTAGGAGGGTCTCGGGGCTCCTCGCAGGAGGTTTTTCTCAGCCAGCAGAGCCTCTTGCAGAGAAGAGGTGGTTCCGCTATAAATAAGCGTGCTTTCAAAAAAAAAAAAATGGGTACAGAGCAGCAGGAAGAGCCCCTGAAGAGCAGTCCAGCTCGCAGCAGAGGCCGTCCTGCTGTTAGTCGGGCTCCGAGGAGCGCCCGGCTCCAGGTGCAGCTCGGTGCCCTTGGGAGCGTCCGTTCCTAACCACGTCCCCGCTGTCTCTCTCCTCCAGCTCCCCCAGCCCCGATCAGACCTTTCAGCCTTCCTGCCCCGATAAGAACAAAGTGCACTTCAACCCCACCGGTTCTGCCTTCTGCCCCGTCAGCCTGGTGAAGCCTCTCTTCCCAAACGTGGGCTTCCTCTTCAGGGGCTTTCCGGCTCCTTCCGGCCCTGGCACGTTTACACCCTGCCAGCCCGCAGCCCCCACCCCCTCCTTCC